GGGAGACGGACCGGCCCGCCCGGCGAGCTAGATCGGTTCCAGCTCCGTGCCTGTCCCGCTCCCTGCCCTCCTCTTCGCCGTCGGCCCTGTCCCTCCGCCCCGGGATGCCTCCCAACCTCACCGGCTATTACCGCTTCGTCTCCCAGGAGAATATGGACAATTACTTGCGCGCTTTAGGTAATTCCATCCCCCTCGTCCTGCTCCTTCCTCCCTTTTTGCTTCCTTCTGTCTCCAAAAATGTTAAAAGTCGGGAAGGGGAGGAAAGCGGTTTGGGAACCCTCTCGTCCGTCTGCCTGCGACCATCACTTTTGCACGGTGGTGGGAGGCGGGGAGGACATAACATGACTGGGGCTCACTGGCTGGAAGAGTGGAGGAGCTCTGGGGGGATGCTGCTAGAGGAGGGGCCCAGGTGGTCCACAGATCTCCCCCTCTTCTCATCCTTCAGATATCAATGTGGTCCTACGAAAACTGGTGTGCCTCCTGAAGCCTGATAAAGAGATCATCCACACGGGAGATCACATGGTCATCCGCACCATCACCTCCCTGCGGGACTATGTCATGGATTTTGACCTGGGAGTCCAGTTTGAGGAAGACCTGGGACCCGTGGATGGACGCAAGTGCCAGGTGAGAAACCCCAAGCAGTGCAGTTCAACAAGCAAACTGGGGTGCACCAAAAGCTCAGGGACTTCCTCAGCTTTTGATTCACGAACTGGTTGAGAGCCCAGCCCAGAGCTGGCGTGCCCCTGCAGGTCCAGGAATAGATGGTTCTATGAGTAAATCACTCACAGCAAAGGGGACGAGCACTGTACAGCCAGAAACCCAGTACTTTGGGACCCAGAGGCTACTATCCTCTGGAGCAAAGCCCCGAAAAGATGTAACATCAGCCCACTTGGCAGTACTCTGTTGCACTTGGAAGCCAGAGGGTCGTTCACCTCCCACAAAAAGCGTTAGTCCCGGGGACCAAACAAAGAGGCACCAGATCAGGGACTGTGTTTGAAAATCTGTCTTGAGAGGAACAGTCAGCATCATCACTGGAAACCTGTATTGCCAGGACCCGCTTGTCCTGGGACCATGTCTTCCCCTCTCCTCTTTTTTCCCCAGACAACTGTATCCTGGGAGGGGGATCAGCTGGTGTGTGAGCAGCTGGGAGAGAAGAGGAACCGAGGCTGGAGGCACTGGCTGGAGGGGGATCAGCTGCATCTGGTGAGGAGGAGTCCACCACAGCTTTGCTAAATTCCAGTCACAGCGGGCAGGGGGGGGACACACAGCGCGGGTGCTGCGGGCTCCGAGCCAGCCCTGCAGCTTCCTTCCAGCTCCTCTCAGACTTCAGCCCCGGCTCCTTCTCGGGGGCAGCCCCAAACATTTTCCTCCCCCCGGGCTTATCAGGTAACGAAGCC